ATGAAACAAAATATATTTTTATAGTAATACTGCAATTCGCAACAGAAGTGTTTTTGCCATGACAGTGCCACCGATTTTTCGATATATCCTTAAATAGGGAACGGGACTGTACAAAGCCTGCATCATACGGGGATTCATCTGATCGACTAGACGCTCTTTCTAAAGTTATTGTCAGGGGAAGATAGTTAAATTTAAAAAACATAACATAACATGCCTATTGGTAAGTAGTTTTTGACTTTTCTTTCAAAACAACACAATTAAGCATTCACCACCAATCATATCACTGTCAATTTAAATAAAACAAATCAATTGAAGTTGAATTAAAAAGAGCTCCTATCATTCTATTTAGGTGGGTTTCGGATAAAAAAAAATCCTCATCAGACAGCTGGAAATGAATTTAATTAACTTTGCAAAAATTTAAATGAATAAATGAATAAATGACTTAAATATGATTAAATTGACTTATCTTTTATAAAACTGTATTTGTTCAAAACACAGGTTTTCTTCCAAAACAAAAGTTCACAATGATGTGGCCTACTGTCCTATAATTTTTTTTTTATAAGCAGAGTATATGGGAGAGTTAAGGGGAGAGGGGGTCAGTTTCAAGTGATTTCTAGTGGTAGTAATCATTCATTCATGTTGTACAGTTTGTATGCCCTTTTTTCATCATTCATGGTTTAAGATCAAATTCGGCATAATTTTGTCTTCCCGAATTTGACCTTGAAAAAGGGGCATACAAACTATGATGTCTAGTGGTATTAATCAATCATTCATATTGTACAGTTTGTTATAAGGGAATTAAAAGAAGTTTTCGATCTTTTGTATGGATTTTCTTTCATCATTCCCACTTTCTGTCTGACAAAATTATGCCGTCAGTATAGCGAACACACATTCAAGGCAAATAGCAATAGTTGATTTTAATCCATTCGTATTTCGGATTTAAAACCTTCTCCAGGACAGCTGTTTAACAAACGTTTTCATTGTACAACCACTGTATTATCCGAAGTACTGTCTTTGCAGATTTATTGATAAATCGAATTTTACCGATTATTTTTCTATAAATGTAAGGTTCAATACAGTAATGTTGGTCTACAAATGTGTTTACTGTGATAAAAATATAAACATGAATATATTCTATTTCAAGACATTTTCCAGTCAAGAGTTTGGACATTTTCGGATTGAATTTCTGGGCAGTTGTTTGTAATAGGGAGGAGGGGATGTGTAGGGGAACAGAATTATCAAAGAGGGCTCACAGCACCAAACATTGAAGACAATTCGTAAGAGCTTGACATGCAGAGCAACGTCTCCACCCGCATTGACAATGGCTTATTCATGATGGTGGCACTTTATTTAAACACAAAAATCCGATTGAAAAGATTGAATAAATGAATGAATAAATGAATGAATAAAGAATGACTGTATGAGTGACTGAATAAATGAATGAAAATGAAATGACAACAATTAGGAAGAATACGTTAAGCGCGCTTCTGACTATGAACGAAGACGTACAGAATGTTTCGGAATATGCTTTTGTGAAATTGAAATTAATTACTGAATTTGTTATAATAGTGAATGAATTCAAGAGAAATTTTATTAGAAAAAAAGTCTTAAAAAGGTTCAGAGATGTTTTCAATATATTACCGTTATTAAAATTGCCTTTCTAACGTTAAATACACAGTTTCGTTCTGTAACAAAATGAAATTCACATCACCTTCTTCATCTGGCACGTGCAGCATTGAACTAAAGAATCAACAGGTGGTCAAAGGGATATAATTTTAATAACAATGTAATCCGTAATCAAGATTAATATTGTGTGTCGCTCATTATATAAGTCATTGTGTAGTCAAATTTAAAAATATTTCGATATTGAAAAGCCTTGTATTACGAACTTATAAACCAAATAATAATAAGCGAATAAGCTAAAGTCGTTTTTCTTTCATTTGAACAGTTTCGAGTAGGAGCCTTTGATATAATTATGGCATCTCGGACTATCTATACAGTAACACAACTAACAACTTTGTAGTACTGTTTTTATAAAAATAAAAAGATAGGTCAATCCATCGAATGAACACATTCAAATGATACATCAACTTAACAGAAAACGAGATGAAAATGCTACAGTTCTGTGAATGCAAATTTACATCCAGGAAATGAAATGAATGGAGTTTTACGTCCTACTTTTCTGCACCATGTTGGCTAATGAAGACGAACAACGCCATGCAGGTGCGATGAGGGAAATTTTGCCAGGACAGCGGCATTAGCCTGCACTTTTTCGATTTCGATCTGTCGAGGGATCTTTAACGTGCACAGCCTGTAGCACACGGGGCCTCGGTTTATTGTCCCATCCAAACGACTAGACGCTTCCATGTCAGCCCTCTTACCTGCATCATTGAGAGGAGGAAACCGGGTTGAAAAATCCAAAGGTATTATCTCGACCTATGCCGGGATTGAACCCTGGATCTTCAGGTTAGCGAGCAAGAGTGCAACTCACTGAG